AGAACACATGTGAAAAACAGTAGTTATATTCAATAAGGTGGAAAAATGAAAGAATGTAGCCTGAGTGCTAGAGGTTTGGCACAAAGTTTTTCAGTAGTGATATTTTCAAGAACTGTATAAATCATACTTATAGGAGAAGATTTTTTTTTTCAACCTTCTCCAGTTGAAAAATTTACACTTCAGAAAGTCTGGCCCATAACCTGTCCTAATCATTTAACAGAACATACTAACTTTATTTTAACTTTGTGTAATTTGTTTAGGTTATTTAAGAAATATATCGTCAACACTGATTCATCCAGAATACTATTATAGTGAAATTCTATTCTTTCATTTAAAAAATATTAAATTTGGTTAGTGTTACACAAAGCTAACTTAACTGATATCACTCTATTGTAAAAATGAAAGATTATTGCAGCGAATATGAAGTTTGTATTGTGTTAACAAGTAACAATGTTAATCTGAATATGCTTTCTAGTTTTATTCCTATTCATTCCCTAATGACTTTGAATTTTGTAAGATAGTTATTAAGTATAAGAAGTTTGATTTTTTAAAAATAAATTGACATACACTAATTTTTGTTGTTCTTTTTGTTTACATTTAGGTTACTTGGAGAATATCAAAATACTAAGTCTCTACTTTGTAACAAAGCATTTGAGTAACTGTGGTTATAGATACAAAACATAAGATCCACCCCAACATTTTTGTAACATAGGAATACTATACTTAGTTTCTATTTGATGTATTAAGTGTACACTTTATAAAGAAACATTTCTAAACATTATTATACCAATTAAGAATAAAATTGAGAAAGTGCTATTAAAATCTAAATACATCAGAATAATTGCATCTGGGGTACAATAATTGCCTGTTTTTATTACACATCAAACATTAATTGTATAACACAAATGGTATATGTTAGGACTACTAGTCTAGCATACATTTGGATAATCCTTTGTTTGGTTTTCCCCCACATTTAACTTTTTTGGTCTCCCTTAGTAAAAGTATATCTAAATAGGACTTTGTTTATTTTGAGTTTTGAAGATGACATTGCCTGGTCAGTTTCACAACAATTTGTCATATCTCAATGTAGTGGAGAAGTATGCTGGCAACATGGCAAATAAAGTATTTTCAGTTTTAAAAAGGTGATCAAATGTACATTTCTGTCATTAGTTGCTGTATTTGGTTTCCAAAGTTTTTGTAGTTGTTGCTGTTTTAATCACTTAAAATTATATATATTTATATTCATAATTTCATGTAATTTCTTGTATGTCAGTCTAGTATTCATTACTTGTAATATCTATTTGTTAAATGTATAATTTATTTGTAATATTAATTGTTACTATTATAATGCAACAAGTATAAGAAATAAAATAGACTTTAGGGCAGTGGTAGGAATGGAGGATTTTGATATAATGGGAATAACTGATACATGGTTAAATGTACATGATTTTGATGACGAAAGTTTCTTTGAAATAAAGGATTGTAGGTTATTTAATAAGGATAGAGTATTGAATAGAGGGGGAGAGGGGTGACTTTATATGTCAGATGTGGGTTACATCCTGTTGAAGTTGAGTATATCAAAGATAATAGCAAGGAGATTGAATATATTTGGGTTTCTCATGTAAAGGAAAAAAGGCTTTTAGTGGTATTTGTTACAGACCACCAAATGATACTGATGAAATTAATGAGCAACTTTACAGCTAGTTTAAACTTTTAATGAGGTCATAATTATGGGTTATTTTAATTTCAGGCATATAGATTGGGAAATTCTAGTCAAACAATGAGAAAGGTTTTTGAAAACTGTTGAAGATGGTTTTCTTCATCAATTGTCAAGGAACTTACTAGAAACAATGGTACTTTAGATTTATTGTTAACTTCTAATATAGAAATTGTTGACAGGGTGGAAATTGGGGAACATCTGGGTGCAAGTGATCATTGCTGTATTAGGTTTGTTTTGTTACATGTGGAATATTTTGGTTACAAATTTTAAAGGGATATGATAAGAATTATCTGTGAATTATACATCTGAGTTATTTGGAGACACTGATCAAATTTTTGAAAATTTTTAAATATTCAAGATTAACATATTCTTTATAGAAAGAAAATGGTGGCTGCCAGTAAAAACCAGGTTAACTCTCAAAAAGGAATAATAGAACATCAAAAAGGATGTATTAAAAAAAAATGTTGGGTGAGAATGTAAAAATTAACAGTAAGGGTTTGTTTAAATACATTATAAGTAAATTTTAGGAAGGGCGTTAGGATCCTTGAAGGATGATAACGGAAGACTTGTATCTGTTCATTAAGATATGGCTGGGTTATTAAATTATTTTTCTTGAGTTTTTACTAATGAAGATTTAAGCAGTATTCCTCATGTTGAACAGTTAGGTAGATGACAACAAGGTCGAATGAGATAATTACATTTATTCTCAGCTTGTTAAAAAAAAAAGATTGGGTAGTTTAAAGCATGATAAGGCTCTTTGTCCAGATAATATATTTCCACTAGGGTTTTGAAGGAGGTTAAAGATTGGATAGTTGAGCCACTTGCAATTTATTTTTGTAAGGATTGAAAGTTAACTAATGTCACTCCTCTTTTAAGTGAGGAAATAAAAATTGTCCCAGTAAAAGTTTTGGAAAGTCCAATAAAAGATGCTTTGCAAAGTCATTTAACAAAGCGTAGAATCTTATTTGAAAGTCAATGTGATTTCATGGAGGGAAAATCTTGCCTTACAAATCTTTTGACATCCTTTGAAAAAGTTGTTGCTTATGTAGATGAAGGTAAGAGTGTAGATTTAGTGTATCTGGAATTTCGGAAATCATCTGACAAGGTGCCACATATAAGGCTTGTGTGTGTGTGTGTGTGTGTGTGTGTGTGTGTGTGTGTGTGTGTATATATATATATATATATTAAAAAAAATATATATATATTCACAAGTGGTGTACTTTAGGGCTCAGTATTAAGACATTTGCTCCTTTTTATTTACGTCACTGACATGTAAATAAAGGAATGGTCAGTAAATTACTTAAATTTACTGATGATATTAAGGTCTTGGAGTGTTGCTAGCAATAAAGAGGATGCTACTGGTTTAAAAATAGATTTCGATCATTTAGTGACTTGGGCAAATAAATGGCAGATAGGTTTTAATTATAACAAATTATTAAGTCATCACAGCTGTTGCTAGTGGTAGGGCAAATTGGATTTTAGGTTGTATCTACAGAAATAGTGAGTACAAATCTAAAGATGTTATAATTTCATTGTATAGGTCACTGGTTAGACCACATTTGGATATTGTGCTCAGTGTTCAGCTCCTTACCTTAGGAAGGACACTGAATTGTTGGAAAGAGTTCAGAGAAGAATGGGGGGGGTTGTCATATGAGGATAGATTAAGAACTCTGAAATTATTTTATCTTGAAAAATGAAGAGTTAGAGGGGATCTGATTGAGGTGTTTAAGATTGTAAAGGGAACTGATAGTGTTGATGCATAATCTTATTTTCATATTTAATGGCAATAATAGTAGGACTAGGGTACACAAATAAACTTTGGAAAAGTAGGAGTCATCTTTAGCTAAGACTATTTTATTTTTCTAACAGGGTGGTTGGCCTCTAGAATGGTTTGCCTTTATATGTTGTGGAGACACTAAATTTAAGTGAGTTTAAGAGAAAGCTTGATAACAATATGAATGATAAGGGCTAGCTTTAAGATTTTAATTTATTTATTTAGTAGTTTTAGTTTAGTTTAGAGGATAGGACAGCTGAGATGGATGAATAGGTAATTTGTTGTTCATAAACATTAAGTTATGTTGCTAGCAATACAGGGAATTTGTTCAGTCTGAGTGGCAGCATGGCATATTTTTATAAAAGCAAGTTTAAGTTGAAACATGAATTTTTTTTTATGTGCCAGTAATGCCACTTGTCTAAAGTAAAAAGTAAACTTTGAGTAACCCTAATATTTGACTTGCACATTTTAACATTTAATAGATAAGTAAAATTTTAAATGTTTTACACTTAACAAATGTTAAGTGTTCATACTAAATCATTAATACCACTGTCGTAAACAAGCTTACAAGCATGTAAAACATAACTGACTTATCTGGAATAACAAGTTTGGGAAATATTAACTTCTTTTAACCAATGGTAAAATTAGAAATATAATCTATAATATAGAGACTTTTTGTTTTTATTATCATATTCATTGATTCACTGTACCATCTGCTATAAACTGCAATTTTGCCTATTCAAGGTTCATCAGCATATTTTGGGTCACTAACCAAAGAAATACAATAAGGCCTCTTGTAATGGTGATGTGTATGAAGTTTTTAAGACCCTTTTAACTTGCCATTTAGTAACCTATAGAAATCTGTACTGGTTCATTACTCTAATGAGTTGATCAATTTCAGTCAGTTAATAAGACCATAAATTAAAATTGAAAAAAGAAAAAGCCCAGAACATGATGAAATGATAAAATACAAAAACTAGGTAAAATAGAAGTGTATTGTCAATTTTCTATTTAAATTTGCATTGGTAACTGATTTTAATCATTTTTATCCAAGTTTTATATAATTTTTAATGCTAAGTTTATTACATTATAACCAGTCCTTTTTAGAATAATTGTTACAGTTCTATACATTGATATTAATATAGATTTTCTTGTTACTTAGCTTGTCACAGCTGGTTGACACGATACAGTATACATCTCGGGAATCTGGGTTCTTGAGTCGGTCACCAATGGGACCTATGTTCATGATTCGCTCTGGAATTTCACAAGCTAGTGATTACAATGATCCTCCTGGGCTTCGTGAAAAAACAAAATACTTGTTGCATGAATGGGTAAACAGATATCACAGTGCAAGTGCTGGAAAGGACAGTTCCAAAGCCTTTTCTACATTTATTCATAAGGTATTAAAATTAGACACTTGAGTAATGAAACTAAGTTGAAGTTAAGATCTATTCTAGAACTACTTTGTTTAGAAAAAAGCAAGATCATCGTTGATTAACTTCACTTTCAAAATTATATTTTAATTTATTAATTTCTTTTCTATACTTGTAAATATACATTTGTGTAGCTGTTAGATATTTATTGGAATACATGCATGTTTCTTTAGCAGGGTCAGTCCATTGTGCTGACAAGCTGGAGAATTTTGTTGGACACAAAAGCAGATTTTTTTTTTTTTTTTAATAAAGCATTTTTACTAAAGATTTGTTTGGGAATTTATAAATGCACCTTGACTCAGAATGCCTACTCTGAGTGTAAGGTAAATTTCATGTTAAAAATAAGAATACTAATTCTTTTTGGTTTTCATATTTCATATACATAACCTCTTGAATATCAATTTTTCTGTAATATTTTACATTTTATCTCTTTCTCTACCTTAAACTAAATGTAGAAACATTATCTGTGCAAAAGTTGAAAAGTATAGAATGAAGTTTGAAGTACTTTCTTCTTCTAGAATGACTGCAGGTTGTAAGAGTAATTAGTTATTATCATAAAAAGCCTCAGGATCGTTAGTTTCATAACTGCTTTCATTTGATTTTATTGTTTTCTTTTTGAACCATCTATGCATTAAACTAATATAACAAAGCAAAAATCATCTGACGTGAGTTGGCCCAAGTTACAATAAACAAAGTATCAAATTACATAATTCATGAAGAGCTCAAGTGAATACCTTCTTGAATTTTTTTGTCTTTTACCTAACCTTGTAAGTTTCAGTTACTTTTTATAACAAATTTATATAATTATGTACATACACATGCAAAATAATAACAAGCACACAAAATATAGTGCCCTATAACTATGATATTGGATTTATAATTAAGTTATATGTGAGTTAAAATAGTTCCCTTACCTGGTTGATGTAATAATAACAGTGAATTGTAGGCTGAATAATTTACAAACTACCTTCAAACAGTGAAATAGTTTTATACAGAAAATTAAAATCTTCTCTCTGTTCATTATAAATAATTCTCTTTTACTTCTTGAAATGGTATGTGCTTGGAATGGAAGGGCAGTGGGTTTCATTTTATTTCACATATCTTACTAAAGCAAGGAGATCTCGGTTATGAATTCACATTTTAACTTGGGCTTATTCATGGTACAGTTGTGATGTTTGTGAGAAACTGAACTTCATATAGGGAGAAAATGTAATCTTAAATTAGGCATTGTGGAGCGGAGAAGTGTCATGTGATACAAGATACGTAAAGGTTGAGAATTTATTTTAATATTTACTTTTGAATTAAGAAATTATCACTAATGTAATGTTAAAATTGGAAGTATAAACTACATTTTAATGCCAGGTTTATTGACACACATTGATAATAAAGTTGTTTAAATAAATTGTGGATGTAATTCTTTAAATGGCCATGACATGCACACTTTGACTCTACCCAAACACATAGGGTTAAACTCTAATAGCAGGATATGTTATCTTAATTGAAAAGATCAATATGTCATGTGTATTTATGTTTCTGCTAATTGATAATGGGAATATTTCAAATTCCATTTTTTTGTACATTTTGTTTTAATTGTTCAGGTGGTTCCAAAATGGCATAGTCATGATATAATTTATTTTTGTAGATGAATATACAAGGAATTCTGAAGACAGAAGGCATGATTACCAGGTTCTTGAGACTCAGCTCTGAAATGTGCACTGACCTGTGCTACAAAACTATCTCAGATCAACCTAATACCTCCTCAACCTTTGTGCGAACTAAGTGTTTTCATACCTTGGATGCTTATGTACGACTAATCTCCTTGTTAGTGAAACATATTGGAGATGCCAACAATATTCTTGCAAAGATTAACTTACTCCATAAGGTACTAAGAAAAACAAGCTGTGAAAATATTTCATTGTTAATTAGTGCATTAAATGAAGTTTGACTCCTTGTTCATGTTATGAAGTGTAAAGATAGTAATTTATAATATTTTTTTATCTTTTAATTTGGTGTTATATTTAGTGACGTAAAAGAAAGTTCTGTAAAAAAATGTTTTTGTGTTACCACTAATGGACACTTCTCATTGAGATTGTGCTACTGACATCTCTAATACTCATTAAATTTCAAGTTTGTTGTATTAATGTTAAATTATATTTACCCACTGTTCAACTAGTTGTTACATTTTGGTATTGTTACCTGTTTTTGTAAATGAGGATTGGTCAATCTTGTATGAGCAGGTACTTGGTATCATTGCTGGCAAATTACTTCAGGATCACAACTTGCGAGGTACGGAATTTCAGCAGTTTTCCTATCATCGGTTGTATATTATGCTGTTCTTAGAACTCAGTGCCCCAGAACCATTTCTGGAATCAATCAGTGTTCATGTCCTGACAGCATTCTGGTATGTGGTGAATAATGTTAGATAGAGCTCTCCTTAAAATAGCTTTGGTTTGTAGGAAACTGATTTGCAAACTGAGCCATTAGTTGAATGGTTTATATTTTTAGATCACTTCATTGGTGGTGTTTCAATTATTAAGTTTCTTTTTAAAGTGAAAAGTAATTTTTATATATTGAATACAACAGTTTTAATGACTATTATTGAATTAAGTCCCAAAAACTTCATAAATTAATGTTTACTGTTTTTTTACTTTGTCAGGATTCTATTTTTGTATTACCTTTCTTATAACAATTTTTTTTCACCATGGGGTATTTCATTATATTGTTTCACCTAATTGTTTTTCTTTTTTTTTACTGTATTGTTAATGAATTATGATGTTTCTCTGGTTTTATAATCATATATTTGCAAGAGGTTTTAGAAAATACTAATTTAGCATTGCTTGTCTTTTATTAAACTTGGTGGTAAGGATACTAAAAATCCAAATTGCAGCACTAAGATATCAGTCTTTAAAACTGGATTTTGTGACTTGTTTACTTCAGCAACACTCTTCACATACTACGACCTTCAAAAGTTCCTGGATTTGCCTATGCATGGCTTGAATTAGTGTCTCATCGTGTGCTTCTAGGAAAGATGTTTGTACTCAATCCACAACAAAAGGTAAGTTTTTAGACAACACACTTAAGTAGTGTTAATTGCTCAATTTCCTTACTTATATATTGAGAGAATACTATATTATATTACATTAATCACCTTATCAAGTAATTTTTTTGTTTGTTCTAGACTTGGAGCATGTATGCAGAACTACTGATTAATTTATTAAAATTTTTATCCCCCTTTCTGCGAAATGTGGAACTGCCCAAACAGATTCAATTGCTGTATAAGGTGAGACCCTCGTAGTGAGTAAACTATTTACTATTGGTTTTCAGTACAGAGCTGTTGATTAACCTTCTATTCACATTTGTTTTCTGGTCTATCTTGATGCAATATTATTGTTAGAGATTAAATTTAATGTGAAAAGTAAAGAACAGTTATTGGGCTTTCTTTTCTTTTGGGATACAGTATCTTCTACAATTTTTATGGGAATTTATTAAAACCTTTTTACATGAATTTGTGTGGTATAGTATATATAGTGTTGTAGGGCTGAATCAATTTCCCAACACCAAGTATGAGTTACTTTGTGTCTTGTGTTCTTTTTTATGAATATATATCCCAGCCTTATTGAGTGAATGGCAATTTTGTTTTCATAAATGTTTTTCTGGTTATATTACCGTGCATAAACTTGCTAAAACTGTTAATAAGGTATGCTATCTTTATTTTTTTAATTTAAAAAAAAACAAGTTTAGTAGGACAATTACACTTAGCCATTGTTACCCAACCTTAAGTATGAGATACGTTTTGTGTCTGAGATCATGTATATTCAGTAGTTTTGCTTTATGAAATAAAATATTACTCAATTAGAATTTACAATTACTGAGATTTTTTTTTATTACATAATATTTTAGTAAGTTTGATCCTTTTGGTTGTGTGATATTTTTTGTTTCTCAATATTGAGTGTTTTTCATCTGAAAAAAACAAATTAAGTTTTATAAAGCAGAATTTGTAAAATGACCTGTGTGTGTCTTTATAAGGTAGTTTTATATAGTTATGGAGATAGGCTATTTTGTTGCAATAAGCTTAAATTTTTCATCATCTACAACATTTAAAAAAATCTTGTTCATTACAAATGTCTACAGAATTTTACCTTCAAATTGAATTTGCCTTAATGTGAACAATTTATAAAATTGTTTTGCATCTTTTTTAATTGCTTAAATTTAAGATTAGTCTAGCCAAACTAATTATTGTTAACTACCTTGTAGGGGACCCTTCGTCTTCTGCTACTTCTACTTCATGATTTCCCCGAGTTTCTCTGTGACTACTGTTATGTATTTTGTGATATCATTCCACCAAACAGTATTCAGCTGAGAAATCTCATTCTCAGTGCATTTCCATGCCACATGAGATTACCAGATCCATTCACTCCCAACCTTAAAGTTGACTTGTTACCAGAGATCATGCAGTCACCTCGTGTCCTAACGAATTTTGGCAGCATGATTCAACCAGCAACCTTTAAAAAGGTAAGTAGCCCCTGTTTAGTGGCTTTGTGCTTATATTCTGATTCAAGTTTGATTAACTGTATAGTGATTCTCCTGATTTTCTGTATTCAGTGACTCTAATAATGATGTTAAAATATTCTAAGTTTGCTAGCCAAATGTACAGTTTGGAGGTCTAAAGGTCAGTTTAAGGTGACGTTCTTTAAAAATTTTGTAAGCAAAGCATTCTTTACAACAGTAAACATTTAAACTTTAGCTGTGTGATAATGAAAACAAAAGTATAATTAAACATTTATTATGCTCTTTAGACATTATTTACCTTCTCTAGACCATCATGATTTTGTTTTTCTTCCCCCTTCTCAGTGGAAATGCTTAACTAAATTGCATAAACTTAATACATTCTCACTTAAATGATTTAGTTGTATCTTTAAAAGATTTAATAAAATGAAATTTATTATTTTCACAATCTTATTAAGGCACTTTTGAAAAATATTATAAATACTTTTTGTTTTAAAATTTAGATATTTTATTCATCAGAAAGTTCCATTTTATATATTTAGTTAACGTCAACTTAATTGTTTCATTTGTTATTTTACCGATTACAGTAGTCAGCATTTCCAGCAATAAGTCATATAAAATATGGTAAAAACTGACAAAAGTTTATTTGTGATCTAGGATATCATCATTGAAAATGGCATCACTTGCCTTTATCAAGCTAAATATCTTGATTTTTGTTAACAATATTCTTGCTCAAGATTTATTTATATTTAATAATTATTGTTTCTTTTCAATACACAAGCTAGTTATTTTTTTTTATACATTTTTGAATATAATAAACTTCACAATAATATTCAATAAATAAGGATTTTAGATCCCTAAGTACTCTTTCACCACCTACTATACTCATTAAATCTAATTAAGCTTCCATGATTTCTTGCCGTAGAAAAGAAAATCTGTAGCTTTACAACAAGTGTTGCTTGACATTCAAATCACTTGTTCACTTTTGTAAAAGCTACAGTTAATTACTTTCTTGAGAAACTGTAAATTAGTGCTGAAACTACTTTATTCACCTTGATGTAAGTAGTTTGTAATTTGCTCTGTTCAGTCTTATAGAACATTGCTATTTTCAAAGCTGAGCTTCAGTAATAATTGTTCCAACCACATGCTATGACATGTTAAATGGTAGCAACTAAACACCTTTACGAATGAAACCTCTAAAAGAAAAGAAAAATTGTATGTTGAACATAACTTGGATAAATATATGTTCTTAAGGGATGTTAGTTTCTTATCAAGTACAGATATTATTATGTATACTTAAAGATAAGCTAAACAGTTAAACAAATCAATAAATGCATTGTTTGCAAAAAAATATTTCTTGGAGGTCTTCAGAAACAAAAGTTGAATCATTTTTCTTAAAAAGATACATTAACTAATTGCTAAAAAAATTAAGATTTGAAAATATTTTTCATTAAAAAAAACTTTTGAACTAAGTAGAATCATTATTTTGACTTACATTCAGAAATTTTGCATATAGGTATGTATTTGACACACACATTTATTTAGGTGTGTGGTAATACTTTACTGAAGAGTATAATTTCTTGCATAAGAGAGGGGGATAAATTGTTTTTTTTTCTTCTAAGGTTGGTACTGTACTTTTATGTTCAAACTATTTGAATACTATTTTCATTCTTTAGGAATTGGACTCTTATATGAACAGTCGAAGTCCAGTAACCTTCCTATCAGAGTTGAGAAGTATTTTGCAGGTTTGTTGTTTTTATAACCAAGTAAACAGTTAGAAATTGTCAGGTTCCACCTGATTCAAGATGGTCCATGTTATAAAAGGTATACTATAAATGATATAAATCAGAGAATATAGAAACATTAAGATTGGCTGTAACTCTACAATTATTGCAAATATAAAATGTGGATAGTATGGACAGTTTTTCCAATATTGGATATTATTAGTTTTAAGAAATGACAGTCTAAAAAAAAGTAGTTTTAGCTACATGATGGTTTAATCTCCTGGTATATTATTTTCAAGAAGCCCTCTTTGAATGCCACCTTCCACTTATTTCTAATCATATGTCTTCAGTCAGTCAAGAACATTCTAGAATTTTGTATGTCTTTCCATCATACAGTTTTCTTAATGTCAGGGTTTTAGGTATACTTATAGGCAGGATTCTTTACAGTAGGTGTCTGTGACTTGTTGGTGACAAATTTCAACAATAAATGGACAGCACACAATTCATTTGTTTTAAAATAATGTATTAAAACAAGTCGAGTGTATTTATAAATGTTTGTTCCACAGTTAATCACTTCAGTTGTAATTAGAGCTTTAAATAATGTATTTTCACCAAGAGTCCACACAGGCTGGTTCAGTTACCTTAGAACCCAATTTACAAGACAAATTCTTCTTCTATACTCTCTACTCTTCTCTAATCTGTGATTATTACACTTTAAAAGTTGCTACCATACACTTTTTTATGGCTAAATTTGCAAATGCAGTCCAGATCTATTTGACTGTATCTCCCATTAACTTGGTTGCCTATATATATTGCCCAGCTAAGGCCTAGAATGTCTACAAACTACTAGACACAAACTACACAACAATTGATTCGTAAACAGATATGTAAGCAAACTTGCCATAACTGTCACTTGTAAAATAACTTACTTTAATGCTCATGCAATATAAACTAAATAATACTGTTGTATTAAACTTAAAATGAACAATCATGTATATCTAACACTTAACATATAAAAGTAAAATTAGTGTGCTGTCATTCCTATAATTAACTATAGCAATTCAATCTTAAGCAACTGCACATTTATGGCAAAGCTTGAAAATAGCTGTGAACAGTAATTACAGGTCTATAAAAGATGATGGAAAATGTATTGCTCAAAAGATATAATTCCATCCAAATGTATTTGCTGAGCAGACTGAATATCACTTCATACCAAATCACCAAACTTGTAAACCTATTTCTAGACAGAGCTTATAGAATTATGTCTCAACAATCTTTCATAAGGGAGTTAGGCAAGAGAAGAATAAAAATAACTGGCTGATTGTTAGCAGCTTATTCTCATAAGGGTATATCTATTTTAAACTTGTGCTTTCTAGGTCATGAATGTTTCAGTGTTGGCATGGATATTGTGTGTTTTTATATCCTTGGAGTTAGGAAAAGTCATAAACAGCTACAGTAATTAAAATAGTTATGGAAACACCTAACCAATACACTTACAGGAGTCTCCAACAACAAGTAATGGTAACTAGATGGTGAAGTTATTAATGGTACAAAACGTTATTATTAAAATACAGAAGAAATACTGATGTTCTACAATGTATTAGTATTTTGTATGCGAGCCTTTTGCTTCACACAGCACTACACACTGTTTTCATGCTGCCTTACTGCTTATCAATGTACAATTGTTGATTATTGCTCCAAAATTACAATATTACCTCCCCTAATTTAGCCACGTTGTTTATCCATACACTCAGTGTTATTATTGGAACAATTGCAGGCCAAGCCTTGGTTATGAATGTTCCATTGCTCTCTCTGCCATCAAGATATCTTTTCAAGTTAGCTGTATGCTTGGGATCATTGTCTTGATGGAAGATAAATTCATGCCCATTGATTCATGTACCTGAAGGAATGGATGATGAAACAGAACCTGCTTGTACTTTTCAGCAGTAAAAATGCTATAATATTGTGTAAATCACAGACAGTTATCTGAGTTGCATTTCTAAACTTGTATTAATTCTCCATCATGCTTAACTGTAGATGTTTTACATTAATTATTGTTGTTGATTGTTACCCAACAATTTGAACTAGGTTTTATCTGTAAAGAGCACATATCCAGCCTTACTCATTCCGTTGTATGTTGTCTAATGTCCATTTCAGCCCTTTGGTTTGATTACCTTTTTGCAGCAGCACTCTTTGGCTCCACTACACATCCATTGAGACCACTTTAATAGCATTCCATTAGTATTTGTATTTTAAATCCTTTTTCTCATTGTTTCATAATTATTTCAAATTCTGTGCTTCAAAGAAAATGTTAATGATTTTAGCAAAGCATAATGTAAACTTCAATTTGATAATTTCAATCTGAAGTAACTGAAAGTATTCGTAACACATTTTTATACATATTTTGTTGAAGAGCTGCTTCTAATTATACAGATAATGTATATTAAATATAATTTTCTGTTTCAGGTTTCCAGTGAGCCAGGAATGAAATACAATATTCCTTTAATCAATGCTTTAGTCTGGTATGTTGGTATCCAAGCCATCAGTTACATTAAAAGCAAGGGACAGACGCCAGGCATGGGAACAATCACTCACACTTCTCACATGGACATATTCCAAAATCTGGCTGTGGATCTGGATACTGAAGGTTTGAATAATATTCCATTCCATCTTATATTTTCCAAAAATGTTTCAAAATCTAGCTGCGAGTCTGAATATCAAAGACTTGTAGTTTTAATATTAATTTCTGGGGCAAAAAAGTAATAACACATCATGATTTGAATGTTGATTTATGGTTTCAGTTCTTCTGTTTTTTGCAATGATTTGAATCTTGATTTCTAATGTCAGCTCTTTGTAATTCTGACATTTCTATTAGATTGTAGTTCTAAGGGAGGTTTTCAAACCTTTAGTCTACTAGAGCATTATTGCAGAACTGATATCCTGTCAATATGTTTTTGTCTAATTTATGAAAATAAGATCTGTTTTCTGTAATAAGAATACGGTTTATTTTTTGCTTCTTTTGGTTGAATATGGTTACATCACATTACAGAATCACTAAAATAATTCAATATACCAGACATATTACAAGAATTAATGCATATAAAACACTTTGTATCTGTAAGTGTGCAATTTCTTTAATGAAACAGCTATACTTTCAAAACTGGAAAGAAATCAATAATAATCCTTACTATATGTCACATGAAATATAAAATCTCCAATATACAATTTTCAATGGAAATTAAAGAAACTTTTAAGGTGTACTTTTGTATTATAAGTGTATTCTATACAACCTTTATGATCATTATTAATAATAAGAAATTATAATGTAGCCTACATATTTATTTCTACCTTCTGTTATTATTGCTTTTCATGTTTCTGAGTGACACTTGTTATCACTATCGTTAAGCATGAGTTGAAGTACTTTCCACGTAACATTATTGGTTTACCCTTTTCTTCAGTATACTCATTTTAACAATTTTTTTTATTTTCCCATATAACAACACGGGACCTATTGGTCTGTCTTAGCTGTTCTATCTTCTAAAATAGATTAAAATTATTTTAAAAAAATCTTAAAGCCATCCCTTTTCATTCATATACTTATCAAGCTTTTTCTTAAACTCGCTTAAATTTACTGCCTCTACAACATCTGAAGGCAACCCATTCCAAAGAAAGGCCGCCCACCCTGTTAGAAAAATAAAATTGTCTTAGCTGAAGATGACTCCTATTTTGCCAAAATTTATATCTGTGACCCCTAGTCCTACTATTCTCATTGTTAAGTATAAAAAAAATATAATGCATCAACACTGTCAATTCCCTTTACAACGCCTTAAACGCCTCATTCAGATTTCACCCCCCCCCCCCAATCTTCATTTTTCAAGAGAAAACGATTTGAGATATTTCAGTCTCTCCTTTTATGACAACCCCTCCATCCCAGGCACCACTCTAGTAACCCTTCTCTGAACCCTTTCCAACAATTAAATGTCTTTACCTAAGGTAAGGAGCCCAAGACTGAACACAATATTCCAAATGGGACCTAACCAGTGACATGTACAATGAAAGTATAACCTCTTTAGTCTTGTATTCAATATTTCTATAGATACAACCTAAAATCCTATTTGTCCTACCACTAGCAACAGCACACTGCTTCAATGGCTTTAGAGACTGATCAACTATTACACCAAGATCCCTTTCCTTTGTAACACTATTAAGGTTATTCCCAGCCAAATTTTACTTATAATTCAAATTATGATAACCCAGATGCATTATCTTGCATTTATTATAATTAAAACCCATCTACCATTTATTTGCCAAACTCACTAAATGATCTAAATCCTTTTGTAAATCAGCAGCCTACATTCACAACTAGCAACACCTATGACCTTAGTATCATCTGTAAATTTAAGTAATTTATTGACTATCCCATCATCTATGTCCTTGATGTAAATCAAAAAGAATAAAGGTCCTAAGACTGAGCTCTGAGATACCCCATCAGTTGTCTTAGGTACATGATGGTTAAACAAGTTGTATGACTGAAAGCCTTATCTTGGTGAACCCATATCCAAGATGGAAATTGGGGGCATGTGGATAACTTTTATCTACTGACCATTGGGGATTCTCACTTGTTATGAGAGGCCATACTTATCTTGGCTGCAGTAAAACTTGTTGCAGTTTACTTTCTGGTTGTTTTTGATGCCCAAGTTGATCCATATTCCTTTGCTTTCCAATGGTATTAAGTAAAAGGAATATTCATGTGCTGTAAATTCTAACTTACTAATCTGAACATATTTTTATGATATGAGTGTGAATACTTTGTGGCCAGTATATATTCGTCCCTGAAGTAATTAATTTTTAGTTGCATTACACTACTTATGCCAAAATGTTGGTCTGATAGATGTCTTTCCACCAAGACCTAATTTGATTTGAATATTCAATATAATTTTAATATAACAAAGTCACCCTCTCTAACCTTTTATTAAATGTGTAATGAGTATAGTTTGTCAAGGAGAGGAAAATCTCCTTGAATTTAAACTCTGTTAAAACAAAGTTCCTATCCCATTTTAGTGACAAAGAGCAAACTATAATAAAATATAATAAAAGCTGGTGGTTGTAAACTAATTTTTTAAGTCATTTTAGTGACTTCAAAAATCCAAGAACTTGAAATGCAATTAAAAACAAATGTGTACATATAACAGATGACTGTCAAAAGTTACTTCATACACCTTCTGTTGTCTTATACATAATTTTATTTTACCACAAATTGCAAAATGCATTATTAAGTTACATGGTTTAAGAACTTGCTAAAATTGACTGGTTGAGTGGGTAAACATTTTGCATGACTCGTTACCCTTTACACCTTGAACTGAAATTGCTATACGTAGTTTTAAGTGAAAGGTGAATGATATTTCTTTGTTCATCTTTGATTAGTTCCTTGAAATAGAAGGTAAAGTTTTTCTATACAAGACATTCTACTAATGCATTGGTAATATACCCATTAATTATTAAAAATCTTAATTCAAATGTTAGACCTTGTTAAATCTATCTCACTAGGCCGTTATTTGTTCCTGAATGCAATAGTAAATCAGCTTCGCTACCCAAATAGCCATACTCACTACTTTAGTTGTACTCTGTTGTACTTGTTTGCTGAAGCCAACACTGAAATCATTCAAGAACAGATCACTAGGTAGGTGGTTTTGAAATGCATGTCAATTTGCCTGTTATAGCTATGTATGTTAAATGTTCTTTTAAAAATACTTGCAACAGTATTCAGGTATGAACATTATTAAAACAAGCTTATGGAATAGTTTTATATGTATGTACCAACTAGAAAAGCTGTCTAAATGAGCAGTTTTTTTGTAATATTTAACAAAATGGAATTTTACAATAAATTATTTTATCCAGGGTTCTTCTGGAGAGAGTAATTGTGAATAGGCCACATCCATGGGGATTGCTGATTACCTTTATTGAGCTAATTAAAAACCCAAGATTTAAAATCTTGAATCGTGAATTTGTACATTGTGCCCCTGAGATTGAGAAGTAAGTATCTGTAAACTCTTGATACATTGAGAAGTTAAACAACATGTTGTAATTTCTGTATTAAATGATTTATCTGGACTATTGCCATGTTATTTCTTTATTTATTTTTTTTATACCTAAGTTTTTTGGCTCAATTACTTGGGCCTTCTAAAGGAGCAAGACATTTAGTAAACAAGAGAATCTGACTGAGCAATTTAAATTACAAGTTTCCAAGCAACAATAATAATGATAAAAAGTGCCTTCTGAACCTTTACAACAATTAGCCTGAAGCTTAATAAGGTAAAATAAGATGGTACAAGTTAAAACGTTGCAGGTCATATTATTATTGTGACTTAGTAACATAATTCTAGAAAGATATGATCAACAGTCCAAATATGTTATTTAATACAAATGAGTACTCATGTTATAAGCCTAAAATGTTGTATTGTTATTTCGTTTTTGTTTTCAATAAAGGTATTAAACTTTGTCTCAAGGTTTTTTGCCTTTAAGCTACTTCATAGTTTAAACCTTTTGTAATGTGCTAATTAATCCAAACAATTTGGGGGTTGTTATAATAAGATTCAGGTATTATAGTATGTAACATTAAAAAAAACGGAATTTCAGAATATTGTGGAATCATAAAAATGTTTATTAAAACTTTACATTTGAAGTAGACTTGTATTAAGTTTTTTTAATGTAGCATGCTGGTGTGACTTTCTCCACAACTTCCACAGAATTTAAGTTCAGTGACTTTTTTTATATAGATTATTTGATTCTGTGGCTCACTCCTGTATGCCTCAGAAACCTTCTGACACTGCTAGCAATTGAGGACTTGACGGTGATGCATAGGAATTTTAACTTGATAATGCCATATTGATGTATAGGATTTTTTAATTTTTAATGCTATATTGATGTATAGGATTTTTTTAACTTTTTAATGCTATATTGATGTATAGGATTTTTTAACTGTATAATGCAATATTGATGTATAGGATTTTTAACTGTATAATGCCACATTGATGTATAGGAGTTTTTTAACTGTATAATGCCACATTGATGTATAGGATTTTTTTAACTGTATAATGCCACATTGATGTATAGGATTTTTTTAACTGTATAATGCCACATTGATGTATAGGATTTTTTTAACTGTATAATGCCACATTGATGTATAGGATTTTTTTAACTGTATAATGCCATGTTACTTTAACATTGTACTTTTTTGTAGTTGTCATCCAAGGAATAATTTTTAGTGAATTATTGTATTTTTTGGAAATAAATAAAAAAAAACAACAATTAAAGCATTTTTAAAGCAAATACATTTTTCTTGTACTGAACCAAAAATAACTTTTTGAATAGTCAACAGACTAAGTAACCAGATGTATGAAAAGAAAGTATTAATACACTAGCAGTGTTTTAGTTAAGATAATAGAAACGGACATTGTAACATGCTATTTATCTTCTCTTATCCTAAGATGCAGCAATACTTTAAAATGGTATCATATATTTAATTACAAATATTATTTGTAATAACTAAACTGAATAGACAAGTTATATATCACTAGAAAAAGAATCACTAACGAACTGTAAATAAGCTTAACCAATAATACTGTTATAAATATAGTGTTAAAATATTTCCTTTTTATCTAACACTTTTGAGTGAAGCAAAGTGTATAAAATAGTCTATAAATATGCAATGTACAAGCTAAGTATATCTTGTTCTTCTTATTCTAAGTATGCTATATGTACACCATATCTATTGTATCAGATATACTGAACAAAGAAAAGCTTGAGGTTATATATGCATAAGTTGAATGTTTTATATTTAAAACCACAAAAATAAATTCCATGTGTAGTAGGATAACGTGGCAACTTCATTGACTGTGTTTTGACCATTTCTGTACTAAATATAATTTAACCCCCCCTATATATATAAAAGACAAAAATGTATGCTTTGATTATACTCCTGTTATGTTACATTAGAAATATTAATTAGACAAGTAACGCGTCTTATGATCCTGTTCTGACAATTGTTTGTGTATTAAAAACAATTGATACTAATTATGTAAGATACTTAACATCTTGTGTAGTTATGTATCTATGTATAGATACATCTGACAGAAAATTACCTAAATTTAAAATATGTATTGCTTAAAAAAATTAGAAACCCAAAGTATAAATGAAATTGGAAAGTTAAACATTTTCGTAAGTTTACATCATCTAAAGCCGTTGTGCCAGACACTTCAAAAGATTTCGTCAAGAAAGACGGCCACAGTTTAATTGTTTTTATGAAGCGTTTGATTTACGGCTCTGAGAGATGAACTAGGTAATTGGGGACTTGATGGGTTTCTTTGTGTTTTATTCGTGACGTGTTTAGAATTTTATTTACTAGATTTTTGAATTGCAGGAAGTGTGCAAGATGATTAGGTATTACTTTTACCATTGTTTAGTAGGTAAGAGAGAGAGATAGGTTACGTATTTACAGAGATGTTTTAGATCAGTCGAATGTTACAAGATTGATTGGGATTTGACGTCCCTTATTGATTTGTTTAGATGAATTAATATAGATATTTATTTTGGCATTCGAAATAAGTATGTCAATAAAATTATTTGCGATATTTAATTTGGAGAGAGAGAGAATTGGACAGGGAATCTGGGACAGAAGGTATTGTAATCTGCAATATATCTGTTAATTGGAAGATTTCGTTATATCTTTGTGATTATATGATAAAATTCAATCTGTTAGAATGTTTTATAGCAGAGCCCTCCTTAAATATGACATTCATTAACGCAAGGAATTGGGTTTAGTGGAAGAGAGGTGTGTTTTATTATATATTGATTTATGGTGATAACTGTAATGAACAGTAAGACATTTTATCGCTGGCGTCCACAGTCCACGTGTGGTCGAAGAGTTCGTATTTTGATATTGGGTTTGGGTCAAGAATTACAAGTAGTATTTCTGTAATAAAGTAAACTAGGTTTTCTTGTGTGTTAGATCTTACTATTGTTTGTTTTTGTTACGTCGACGTATGTTGAACGTTATCGAATTTAGTGTTTTAATAGGTTTAATGTACTGGTGGGAGTGGGGTGTCACGTTGAGTTAGGATTGTCTTAGTTTCATTGTGTTGTGATAGGAGCATTTTAGTTTTAGAAGCAGTAAGTAAAGAGGGAGTATTGGGTATGACTATTGTTGTGGATAGTAATGTCGTATGTGTTATGTTTGGTGTGCCAGATTTATATATACAGCTAACGATATCTAGATACTTCTGCTTCATGCCACACCGTCACAACCACAGTTGGAACATGTGTATTCTGTATAATGAAAACGTTCAGCTACAAGATGATTATCTGCCAGCCGAACACCGTAGGGATGAGCCTCAAAGGCATCCCTAGTGTGTTCAAACCGTTGGCAATAGTAATATTGAATGACAAGCAAAAGTGCCCGTCCCCAGTGACGGTAAAAGTTTAAGTTAATCGATCAATTTAAATTATTTCATGGACTTTAAAAACGTTTAATTGTGTTGCATTCTTGGTTTCACTCAGAGCCAAAGCTCTGAACTACTTATACCGCCCACCACATAAAGTAATTATTGAGCATGTCAGTCATGCTAAGAGCCGCTCAACAATAACGTACGATAAATC